GGCAGCATCTACAACCCTGAAGTGCTTGACATCACAGAGGAGACTCTGCATTCTCGTTTCCTGGAGGGTGTTTGCAACGTTGCCAGCGTGTGTCTGCCGATTGGTTACCCAACTGTGGCATCTGTGCCCCATTCTATCATCAATGGGTACAAGCGGGTCCTGGCTTTGTCTGTGGAGACTGATTACACCTTCCCACTTGCTGAAAAGGTCAAGGCCTTCTTGGCTGATCCATCTGCATTTGTGGCTGCTGCCCCCGTGGCTGCTGCCACCACTGCTGCTCCTGCCGCCGCGGCTCCAGCCAAGGTTGAAGCAAAGGAAGAGTCAGAGGAGTCGGACGAGGATATGGGATTTGGTCTCTTTGACTAATCACCAAAAGCGGCCAAAACGGCCAGCTTTATTTGTGAAACAAGGAAATAAAGGCTTAATTTCTCTCAAAAAAAAAAAAAATTATCTCCAAGTTTCAAAGCTTTGCCCAGTATCAACAAGGGGGAAACGTAATTGAAACAGCTACACTTCACTGCAGAGGACACATAAGCCACCGATTAATCTGTTTAAAATATGTTGTTCAATCAATCACATAAAAAACAATAAAAAGTACTCTGGTCAAACTGATTGATTTGCTTTCTTTTATTTCTGAAAGCAGAAAAAAACCCCAAACTATAGACACATAGGTAGGTTAATACTTTTCCAAAATAACTCATTATGGAAGAATCTGGTTTTAACTCAAACTTTAACTCCGTTTATATATACACACCTCCCTACTTGGAAGCCATAACATAATCCTAAAAGTAAGTGGAACTTACTGGGTATTGATTTTAACATCAACATCTGGAGAGTAAAATTCTTCCACAGCAAACATCCGTACGACTCCCCTCACCGCAGCGAGTCGGGAATACACTAACACGAGGAGCAGGGTCAACATACTCTAGCCGTTAATTCCAGGCCACTCGGAAGGTAGCTTACCAAGTAACTACTCTTGACCCAACTTGTGTTTCTGTGGGTTTCTTTTTTTCCTCCCACATAAATATGACACCATTTTTTTCCATACGTGGAAGTAGGAGAGGGGTCGTGTGGTGTCGGGACGAATGACCTGGGGTCTGACTGCTGGGCTGTGAATCTTGACTTGTCACTTCCCAGCTCTGAAATCTGGGGAAAGTAAGACAATGTTGATGGGGCTCTGACCATAGAATAAGACAAGCCATGAAATTCTTAGCATCGTGTCTGACACACAACTTAAGCGCCTTTTCAACACAGTCGAAAAATCAAATCCAGTACTGAGTATATTTTAGTGTTAAGTAGAGGCCAGTGCAGCTGTGCATGCCTTGACCCTCTGAATCATCTGGTGTGGCTTTAAATTAAGTGTTTCTGAACGCCTGGGATGGGATGGGCTCTGAAATCAGACTTCCCGCCAGACTCACTCACTCACCACAACGGCCTTGTGAAGCACCTCTCCCACTGCCTGGGAGGGGACGGCAAGTCACGCTAACCCTCAGCCTGCCTCTGCGCCTGAGAATGGAACGAACTCTCCGATGGATCAACTGGGGACGCGTCTCCTCAGCTCTTCTGTCATTCCGGGAGCCAACTTCCCTGCAGGGAGCACGACCTCTCCTCCTCCCACTGTTCTGAGCCTTGCCTGGGGAGCCCCGCACGTGGGAGATCTCCCCTGCTCACAGGCGCCTTGGACCTGGCACAAAGCTGCCCAACAGCGGGATATATTTACAAACCCTTCCAGCTGCCACACTTAGTCACGTCCTCTGATGTGGCCTCCGTCCCTGATCGGGGTAATCGGGCCTCCATCTCTACTGCTTGATGATTTCTCAGGTTGTCCAGAACGCAGATGGTCCTCTTTATTCAGGGAACCCCCACACCCCCCAGTGTTCGCCACCACTCCACCGCCAGACAAGACGCAGGTTCAGAGAGAGGAAAACTTTCCTCAAGGTCCTGCTTACATAACGTAGATTTTGTTTTCAACCTGAAATTTTTTTCTTTATATATTTATGCCTTTTATTGAGATCTAATCCACATGGTACAAAATTCACACTTTCATAGTGTGTAAGGCAGTGCTTTTTGGCACAGCCACGAATTTGTGTAACCATCACAGCTACTTCCAGGACATTTCCGTCAGCCCCCAAAAGAAACCCCACGTCCAGAGTCACTCTCGATCCCACCTTCTCCCCACTCGTGGCCACTGCTCATATACCTTCTGTTTCTGTGAATTTGCCAGTTCCAGACTTTTCATATAAATCGCATCATACGTTAAATGTGCTTTTTTTGACTGGCTTCGTTCACCTCCGATAAAGTTTTCAAGGTCCAGCCTCGCTGGAGCATGCGTCGGATTTAGGGGATATTCTACCCAGTAAAAAATTATTAGTTTTATAGTTTAGAGAGAAAAAAAGTGAGTATTTGTACTTCTTACTTTAAGAAACTTAGCCACTATGACGGTTGTTGGAAACCTTCCACGTCAGTTTAGGTGAAACTATGGAGTGTATTTAAAACAGTGTCTTTGGTCTCATGATGACAAATTAATTAAAGAACTAAAGTGGTAATGTTTAAAATCTCAGAGGGTTTTCACGCCGAACTCATCACTGTCCACAGGGATCTCCTGGGAAATGTGACACGCAGCTTGGAGGGTCTCCCTTGGAGCTGAGAGACAGACTTAGCGGGGACTGGAAAACGCCAGGTGGGCAGGGAGGATGGCGGGGTGACCGCGGGGGCCGGGCGCCAGCCTAGGCCCCGTCGGGGCGGCGTGGGGCGGGGGGCACTCACAGCTTGCCGGGAAGGCCGGGGGGGTCGTGGGCCACCTCTTCGTACAGCTCCTCGTGCGCCGCGGAGGGGCCGCACCTAGGCTCCCGCACGCTGCCGCCCCAGGCCACCTCGGCTCTCAGCAG